GTTTCTGCTGCTGCCCTGGAAACTAATTTAGTAATTGCATCTCACAAACGGGGTCCAGACACATCTTCTGTGAAATCCACTCAGTGAAAATTTCTGTATTTTATCCCTCAAGACATTTCACGGTTTGAAAGACATTTCCAGCTTCACAAATACCCCTGCCTTGTGGTGACAGGGTCACCTCCAAGTTCGAGAACACAGTGTGAAATAAACACAGTGTGCTAATTTCCACTCAGGTTTCCTTTCTGGGGCTCAAAACACCATTCGTGTCATCTCACAGCGTTCAACCAAAGCAGGGACCAGCCCCGAGGCCCTGGTGGGCGAGCCTTTATTTCTCTACACTGCTTTGAGTGTCACTAAATAAATTTCCATTAGAACAGGTACCAGACAGTCGGGTGCAATCACAGAGGCTGCTTTTAACTGGCAGGTCATTCCACTGGGATTTAATTCTCTTCGGTGCATCCCTCAATCTGGAAGGGCTTGTTTCCTCCACTCGGGTCCCTGCACGCAGCCCAGCAGTGCCTGAGAACCATGCGGTGCAGGGACACGGTCAGGTCTGAGCATCGTGTTTCCTGCACTCGTAAGCCGGCTGCTTTCAACTCTCTGCAAGGCAGGTAAAGGTGTCCGCTTTTCAGTCGGATCCTGCTCCACGAGGGGTCGCTTTGAAGAAGTCACCAAACTTGGTGCAGAGCCACTAAAACACACGAAAAGTGCTACACTATCAGAGCCATTGAGGATGACAGCACAGCAGGTGTAATAAAAGGGGACGTGAGCCCCCGTCCCACCTGGACCACCCGGTGCTGCAGCTGAGAGTCCATCGGGATCAGGAGCTACGCTTGCTCAGTGGCCACAGGCCCTCTAGTCCTGGACTCTGCCCAAGCCAGTGCCCGCTCAGATGGGCATATGCGCAGAGAGAGCCCACCCACGGCCCCAACTCCTGTCCATCTGGGTAGGTGGGGGGAGCACGGACCCTGGGATCCAAGAGCCAGCCAGCCCGCAGGCCCTGCCTTCTGCCTCGCCAGTGCCCTGGCGACCACCCTCCGCTCTCAGGGCCACCAGCTCCTCCACGGACACCCGCCCCACAAAGGGGGCTGCTTCGTGAAATGTGTGAGGACTGAGAGGCCAGAGGCTCCTCATGCCATTGACACGTCGCTGGGCCCCAACAGGCCTCATGTAACTGCAGCTGTAGTTACCCAGTGCCCTGGCCACTTCTAGGCTGACGGATCGTGCCAGCTCACCTGGGACCAGGGGCTTTCTGGATGTGGGACTTCCGGTGCCACAATCAGGCTCTCCTGGGGAATCAGGACGAGTCAGTCCACTGCCTGCTGCCTGGAGGCGGTGTCCCAGAGCCTGGCCTCTGTTTGCCCTCTGGGCCCAATACAAGGGGAGGAACACCTCTTGTGCCCCTGTGGTGCTGGATGGCAGAACTTTCCGGAGGCCCTACCATGGATGGCACTCCACACCTGAAACCCGCCATACACGCTGCCCCTCTGGCACTCCGACGCTCCCTCTCGGGAGGTACTGTCATCGGGCTGAGGAGATGAAGAAATGGGTTCAGCGGGGTTCATTCAACCACGCTTCGCACAGGTAGCCTCGGACACGTGGGGTGAAATGTGGTCTCCCCAGGGTCCCCAAGGCCAGCTCCCAGGGCTGCAACCTGGCAGGGCTCACCTCTCAGGGTCATCATCCCATACGGACTGTGGTTTCATATGTGTCGCCGGGGTCTCAGCGTGCTTGTCTGAGGCGGGAGTGTGATGTGGCCCCAGACACGCTACCTCGGACACAGGCGGGTGCAAACGGGTGCCTTCCTCAGGACGGCGCCTGCGCGGGCCTCTCACAGAGCCTGTGCTGACGTGGTATTCTCCCTCACACTCACTCTGCACCCGGCCACTGTCCGGGAATCACCCACAGCTGGCTTGTCGGCAGAACCTCGGCCCCGTATGGGCTTCCTCCTTTCAGGCATCGCCCTTGGTCCCCGCGCCCCCAGCCCCTATCAGTGCGGCTTCTTCTCTCCCAGTCTGTGGACATGAGGGAAAATTCCCAAGCTGGGAGCTGGGACAAGTGAGTGTGAGACCGTGTGGCTGGCAGTGGACCTGGGGCTGCACTGGCCTCTGGTCAGACCTGTCTGGACGCATCCCTTCTCTTCTGTCCTGCTGTCAACATTCTAGTTTTGCCTTAAAAGAGAAAAAAACCCCACCATGTTTGATCACTTAGTCCATGCCTGGATGTTTACAGCAGATTTATCCGAACCTGGAAGCAACCAAGGTGTCCTTCACGGGTGACGGACGGACTGTGGGCCAGCCCCACGATGGGTGTTATTTGGCACTAAAGAGAAACGCACCATCGGGCCAGGAGACACCATTGGTCTCCTGGAGGGACCGTTGGTCACAGGACAAAGCAGACGGAGCCGGCCTGGAAGGGCCACACACTGTGTGATCCCAACCCCAGGACATTCTGGAAAAGGCAAAGCTGTGGAGACAGTGATGGACTGTGGTGGCCAGGGGCTGGGGGAGGGGATGGGCAGCGGCACACGGAGGGTTTGTAGGGCAGTGACAGGACTACATGGGGAGCACAGGACATGAGCATCTGTCCAGACCCACAGAGTGACGCCACCCAGAGTGAGCCTGGGGGAGCTGTGGACTCTAGTTAGTAATAATTGGCTCAAGAATTCCTTTTAAGGAGGAAACTGGTAGCAGGGTGGGGGGAGGTTTAGGAGCTTCCTGTTTTTCTGCTCAATTTTCTATAAACCTGAAACTGCTCTAACTAAAAGAGTTTACTAATTCCAAAAACTGGGGGGCAGGGGGGTGCCATAAAGGGAAAGCTTTGCCTTATAGAGGAACATAAACTGTGAGGAGAAGCAGTGTGATGTAGAAAACTGCCATTTGGCAACAACCACCATGAGAACTGTTCAATAATTGTTTTAAACGTTCAAATTGAAAATAAATAATTTCTAATTCACCTGTCCAGGCCAAAAACCCCAAAAAGCCCCAACTAAAGCACAATGCAGTGACGTGGGCAAAGCCCCGCAGAGCCCCCATGCCCGGGCGGCAGGCGCCCTCTCTCCCGGGCCCGCTGGCCTCCGCCTTCGCTGTAGTGCTGGGCCGCCTGCCCCGCGCTGGACTCTTTGTCGGGGCTGCTTTGTGTGGATCCGCGGGGCCACCGGGGTTCTGATTCTTCTCTGCTAATGTTTGTCTGATAATGTTTAACTCCAGGCATGGCCAAGAGAAATGGCTGTGGACCTCTATTCTGAAATATTCGGGGTCTATGCTAGGTATTTAGAAGAAAAGTTAGGGTTTTGCCCTGGAATAACAGGCATTTCAAACCCATAGAATCCAGAAGACACCGGATCTGGGGAGGAAGCGGCAGAGGCACTGGTCGGGGAGGGAAGGAGCCAACTAGAACAAGAAGCGCAGCCCGCAGGGAACACGCCAACCTCCCCCTACAGCCGGCCCGGGCAGGCGAGACAGGTGGGCCTGGGCCCCGGGAACCATCCGGAAACAGCCACGGAGTGGGCCAGGCCCAGGGCCCAAGGAGAGAATCCAGGTCAGGGACCCACAACACCCAGGCCTGGCTGAGGGCTCAAGGACATGCCCAGGAGTCCACCGGTCCATTCACAGGTAGAGCTTAAGTACTGGGAGCTACATCACAGGACGAGCAGAGGGGACCCGCCCTTGTGGGCAGGGAGCCAGTCTGGGTGACAAGACAGAAAAAGAGCAGCTCAGCGTGGTACCAGAGGCACAGCCATGCGGGCTCACTGCCTGCCCACCCCCGGCACCCGAACCCTTTGCTCCCCCTCAGCTCAGCTGAACATCCTCCACCCGCTGCTTCCACCTGCCCCACCTACCCCGCACCTGTCCCACCTGCTTCCAGAAGAGCACCCCTGCAGCTGTCCGCTCTGCCCACACACGCGGCAGAGCCCATCACCACCCACCACTCCCTGACCTTGCAACATCAGGGCCCCTGCAGGCACCACGCTGCTCCTTCCCTGCTGGATGTCCCCACCGGCAGGGGACCCCCGGGGTCTCTGCGCCACACCACCCGACTGGGACTGCCTGAGCCTCCAGCGAGAGCCCAGCTTGCCATTCCGCACACAGACCCCGCTTCCCTAACTCACAGAGCCCCCACCTGGGCTGGCTCCCCACTCGTGTTCAGCCACTCCAGCACATTCCCCGATGCGCTCAGCCTCCTGCCTAGTGCACAGAAATGGGGTGGTAGTTGCCAGAGGCAGGAGAGGGGGCACAGAGGCCAAAAGGTATAAATTTCTGGTTACCATAAGATAGATGAGTCCTAGGGAAGTCATGTACAACATGCAGACAATAGTTAACAACACCGTGTTGCATATTTGAAAGCCAATAAAAACCCATAGATCATTAAAGTTCTCATTACAAGAAAATAAGGTTTGTAACTGAGCGTGGTGGTGGGTGGCACCTACGCTTACTGTGATGATCAGATCATTTACAAAAAGATACTGTATCAAGTCGATTCGTGAATCTGAAACTAATGCAATGTCATCCGTCATATCTCAATAAAACTGAGGGGAAAAAGGGAAAAGGTAAGATTAAGTGAAGTTAATGCTTGTGCAGAATCGTGGAATTAAAAAAAAAGAAATGTCCAGCCCCAAATGTCAGAAGTGCTGAGACAGAACCGTGTCATTTTGTCCCACAAACGACTAGAGGCCCACACGCAGGCGGAAGTCAGCTTCCAGCAGAGGGCGCACCAACACAGCGCGTCTCGTGTCTCCGAGGCGGGCACAGAGCCCCGCGCGCGGCCGTCCCTTCCTTCATCCCGTTCATTGTTCATTTATTTACTTGATACACGCTGGCCGTGGGGGGCACCCGGGGGCACACTGGCTCCACCCTTTTTCACCCAGAGCTCCCAGGGGAGCGAGAAAGTGCTTCTAAAGACCAGGTAAGGAGTCAGTGCTGCACATGCGTGTGACGTAAGAGAACCGCTTTCTCCAACTAACCCGCACTTGCGCAGCGTGCCCCCTGCCCGGCCCCTACCTCCCGTCTCCAGGTCGTGGAAGTTCGGGTCCAGGCCTCGCTCCAGCATCTTGACGATCTTCTCCACTGAGCAGTGCTGTATGTGATCCATGCATTTCTTCAGATTGGTCTGCAAAAAAATGATGAAACAGAAATGTCTTCAAGAGAAACATCTGGCAGCCGCAAGAAGGGGCCTCACAGAGCGCAGACCGGCCTCCTCCACCGAGAGGGAGCCGAGCCTCCACGGGGCCTCTGTCCGCCCCACAGCTCACCAAGCACCTGGAGGCCCAGGGCGAGCAGAGCCCACACGCAGTGGGTGCAGTCACCCTGTCCTGGGTGGATCTCAGAAACCGCTCACTGCCCACCGTCCTTGCTGAAGGCCATGGACATCCCTGTTTCGAAGGAGGCCACGTGGAACTGCGCTGAAAAACTAGTTCCAGAATCCACCCCCGACAGTCTGGCCAGTGATGTCCAAGGACTGGTACTGATGTTTTCTAACCTCTAGGGGGCAGCAGCGGTGGAGGTCAAACAGGGCAGCCGCTCACTCAGGTTAATCCACTCTTTGGTTAACCCCACGCCCACGTGGGCAGGAACGGGGCACCGGCCACCAGGTGACTCCAGCTGAAGGGGAGACATGCGCTCCCATGAGACGAAAAGGATCAGAGAGTCGACCTCGGTGCGGGGACACTTCCCCAGCTCTGACCAGGTTCATCTGTAAGAAGATGTATGATTTCCTGTCCATCAAGCGGACAGCCTGGGCTCTCTGATCGCCGTCCCGGGATCCGACGCCTCCACCTGATGAATCTAACTGGCCACTCCCTCACTCTCCATCCCTACTCCACACCTCTCCCCAAACACACAGGGCAGGGGGCAACGGCGGCTTCCAGGCTGAAGCCTTCAGCCCTCTGGAGGCCGGATCTCCATCCAAGTGCCTTCCAGACATTCTGGGGCTAAGAATTAGCAAATGCACAAAGACACAAGATACACTTAGTTTCACTTAACACTTTCATTTCTATTTAGTAATTGACATTTTTTTTAAATTCACACACACATTTTTAACTACACATCAGAGGTAATAAAAAAAAACAGAAGTGCCCAGATCGTGGGGTCTGAACACCTCCATCCAGGCAGATTCGAGGGCTGGACACGGACAGTGCAGGAGGGGCCCCAGCGTCTTGTGTCAGAACCTTGTCAGCACTCAAAGGGCGGTGGGACATGCCGGAGAGCGGAGCCCAGCAAAGGGCAGCCACCAGCTGCACCCAGACACTCTGAGCACAAAAATGAGTAACAATAAATGCAAAAAAAATGTGCATCCCAGGAGCACAACAGAAATCCAGGCATCCATCCTGATACAAATGGGGGATGAAACAAAATCAAGGGGGCCCTGCTGGCTGAGAGCGCCCTCTGTGAGCTCAGAGCTCGGTGAGCTGCCCTGGGCAGCATCAGGCTGAGGGAAGGCGTCCAGGCAGCGTCCCAACCCTGGCTTCAGCTGTGCCCTCAGGATGGCTGGGGAGAGCGTCCCCCTGGCATTAAGGGAGGTCCCCACCACACACTTGGGCCCCAGCTCCCCCCGGACACCCACAGTATGCTGAGAAAGAGCAGGTGCACCCACGGCATACTGGCCTGGCTGCACAGAGACCCTGGGCAGGAGTGCCTGCTGTGTGCGCAGCCAGGGGCTGAGCGCTCTTCGGAACGCAGCCCAGGGCACTCTGCCCTACCAGGCTCACGGCCCGGCTGCCCGCCTGCGTGTCTTCCCTCTGTGTGGTTTATGTACACAGCTCTTAATCGGCTCTGTACTTGAGGGGCGGCAGAGGAAAACCACCCCCACACTGTCTTGTATTTCAGCAGCGATGGCTCAGAGTCAAGAGTTACCCCTCCTCCCAGGAACACCAGAAAAAGGAGCGCATACGGCAGGTTCCACAAGGATAGTTTTTCATTTACAAGTTGTCGTCTAATGTGTTTTCATTACCCAGGATGAGGTGATGGTGGTAACAGGAGGGCCCTGCCTTGGAGGAGGTCTTCTGGACCACCCAGTGGGGTCTGCTCCCCTGCCTGAGGCCTCCTCCCCCGGGGCTTCACGGAGCAACCCCACCGCCCCCTGGGCAGCCCCACAAACCCAGGCTACCTGCACATCCTGCCCTGCCTCTCGTGACAGGAATGCAGCAGGTGCCCCAGCACCAACTCCCAGGAGAAGGAGCCCTCTGCCCAAAGAGCTCCCGACCCCCAAAGATAACGCAAAATCAAAGGACGCCCAGAGCGTGAGTGACAGCCCAGCCCACTTACCTTTGTGTGCAGCTTGGCCAACTGTTTCTCGTCCAGACTGGATTGTTTATACACCCGCTTCTTGTATCGAAACTGGCACAGATGCAGAAACAGGAAAAAGAAGGGTTAATATAGCACATGGCTGTTCAAGGGGCAAACCAACATTTGGCTATCTCACCGCAGGTGGGGCTCCAGAGCAAACCCTCCGGGTGTTTAAAATAAACTACTGGTATTTGAGCCGCAGAGCCCACAACATCGAAGAGGAATTCTGCAGCGATCTGGCTAAAAAAGCCCTGACAAGAGCGACTCAAAGGGATGGAAGGGTCAAGGTCCTGGGGTAGAGGAGCAGCCGTCTGCAGTGCGCAGCTGTCCTCCGCATTATTAGTGACCACGGTCTGACCACCGTTAGTGCGGCACTGCCAATACACCAGGGCACGGCTTCAAGCGGCGGGACTCTGTGGCCTAGTCCATGTGTACAAGCCCCGGCCCCGGGAAGCCGTCTCCTCTTACACCTGCAGCCTCTGCCTGGGGCTTCGTACCCAGACGGCAGTGCCTCCTGAGCTGGAAAACACAGTAGGAACTGAGTGCGTCCTGCCCCCATGCAGCAGCTGTGCCCGAGAATGCCCCGGTGTGTCTGCTGCACCACCCTAGCACCCTTCTCTGGTGCCTCCCCCAACCAGGGCCCGGACCCTTTGCAACAAACTGCTGGAGACACTACACAAGGCTTGGGAGGGATGCCGACAGTCATGAGGATCCTGAGCTGAGGTTTCCGCGCTGGCCGTTTTCCCCATCTCAGACCCTGTCTCCTTATCTGCGGCAGGGAGATAACAGCACAGAACTCCCAGGGTGGCCCAGGGACTGGATGCAAGCTCCCGGGCCCAGTGCCGGGGCTGGACGAGTGCTGCTTCACCCCTCCTCCCCCACTCGCCTGACTGCATCATACCCCGAGGAATTTAAACAAGCCCACGAGTGAAAACACCCTTTGTGAAACGGAGGTGCAGGGCAGTGGGAGAACTAATCCCAAAACCGAGCGTCTAATCCCATATAAAGTTCCCAAAGCCGCAGCCTTATCCTCCTTCCCCATTGCTGCAAAGAGAGCTGCAAACCGGCCAGATTGCTTTGTCACACAGACCAAAAGGTGACTTTTTTTTTTAAGTGCCAAAATAAACTCGTTGTGAAATCAGAGTTCTACTCCTGGCTCCAGCTGTGCACAGTTTCTGGCTGACGAGTGCTGATCTCAAACTGCAGGTCCGCCTTCCCGAACCGAACTGGCAGGTGGAGATCCAGGCCTGCTCCAGGGCCTCCGCCCCGACCCCAGAGCCCACCAGGGCAGTTCGTTCCACGTGCCCTGCACCCCAGGACCAAGATGAAACTCTCCTGGCCTTCTCACAACACCTCTGAGACTTCAGAAGCCAGAGGGGGACAGCAGGGGGGTAACAGACGGTGTGACTTGTCACTAACTTGACAAGTCTGCAGGAATTCAGGTCAGTGGGCACTTTTACTGGTCATAAAAAAAGTACCCCAGGACTGAGAACATGTCCAGGCAGGAGGGACATACTGAGGACAGACTCTGCAGAGCCACACGCATTCACCGCCCCTGCCCCAGAGGAATGCGGCCCAGAACTACAAACTCCCTTCCTGCTAGTTTGTCAGAGTTTCCTAAGAAGTCAGCCACACTTTACTCAAATTATCCAAGGCAAGGAGCTCAGATCCTTGCCTTCCCCTAAGTGTCCCCCACCAGGCCCTTCCCAGCTCCGCACGGTGGGTTGCCTGGCAGGACGGTGGCCCAAGGGGATGAATGTAAGTACAAACAGCTCTCTCTTGCCAAAGAGGCAGATGACAGCACCGACTCGGGGTGTTTGCTGACCCCCAGGCCTTACGCTGAGTCCTGCTCTGTGAAGTATCTCGTTTGAACCTCACAGCCACCCAAGAAGGTGGTACTAATGTTTCCCCAATTTCCAAGCTGGTCATTTGGGCCCAGAGAGGCTAGGTGGTGCACTCAAGGTCACACAGCTACCAAGAATGAGACCAAGGGTGTCTGACACTGCAGCCCACATATCCACGAGGGGCGATGGGCACAGGGGCATCTCAGCTCCCTCAGCTCCCGTGAGTCCCTGGATAGGACATGGGGAGGAGGACACGCCCACCCACTGCTCTGAACGCTACAGCCCAGCCCTGTCCTTTCCCATGCCTGCCCTTGTTCGGCTCTCAGGAGTAAGGATGGGCTGTTCCCAGGACTTCTGGTCTCCTGCCCCATTTCACTGCTGCTATAGAAATTACCAGCCCCTAAAATGAACTGGTTATTTACTGTCCCACTGGAGTGTAAGCGCCATTAGACAGAACTTGGACTCATGCATGTGAGACATGCCTAGAAAGGGACTGGTACTTAGGCTCCCAGCAAGAGATTTTTCAATGGATACCCATTTTACAGATGAGCCAACTGAGGCCGGACCAGTGAACCACACAGCTGCCATGTGGCTCCCATGTTCCCCTGGCCGGACACGTTCCACCTAAATGGGGACCTATAACCACAGCCTCCAAGTCACTACCGGACCTAGACATGGGCAGATGAGGTTTGTCCATGCCACCTGGCTTCAGAGTGCCCTCCAACTGCTGAGAATATTGCGGGACCCACGTCAGTGGCTCCAACGCCAGTACAATTCCACACTCAGCCTCCTGCCACGAGACCTCGCTGGAATGAATACCATCAGGTAGCGACACATCGCCGTTTGTACAAGGTAGAAATGACATTTCCAGCTGCTTGTGTGCCTGTCCTGACACTTCATGTGGAACTGCTGTACACACACTCAGGAGCAGCCTGCCGGGCGTCAGAGAGGCAGGACCAGGCTCACTTCCTGTGGGAACGTGCTAGGCTGTCTGACGTGCATGCGCATCAGCCCGTTCACAAGGCAGGCCCGACAGAAGGTTGGCTATAGCAGTTCAAAGCTTAGTCACTCCCGGGGTCATTCCTGCAAGAGGCAGAGAGGAAGCTGATCGCAGCCGGATGGCCCCTGGCCCACCATATGCCCAGCGGCAGGAAGGCTGACTCAGGGAGGCACCCAACTGTAGGTCTGCACCCCACGACTCACAGGCCTGCTCCTGAGCCTGACAGAGAGCCGTGGTTCGCTCCTATCAAGACTCTGCCCTAACACACTCCTCCGCTCTACCGTCAGAAACAAATTGATTAAAATCACACAACCATCTGTAATTCACAAAATTAGGTGCACCCTCAAGACCCCAAACTGACTCTTAAATCTGGGGCTCACCCCCCAGTCCAACATAATCTGGAGTTTGGAGAAGGAGCCGCCCCAGCCCGGGTGCAGTGCGTACCTCCAAGGAGGGCACGCCCTTGCCCGCAGGCTGCGGGTACTCCCGCAGCAGCCGCTCCTCGTCCAGGAACTTGCCGTCGCGCCCACCGCTGGCCGGCTGGAACAGCCCGTAGTTCAGGGCGTCCCTCAGGCTCTGGTTCAGCGAGCACAGAATCCGCTGCTTCGCAATCCACACGGTGGCATCTGGGTTAAACCGGATGCATTTCTGTGGGGAAGGAAAGCCATCTGATTAGGTGCAGAAGGCCGGGGTGGTGGGGGGCGCAGCACGGGGCAGAGGCCATGCTGTCACCCCTGCATCCTAACAGTGTCTGAGCTGCAGGCCCCTGGCTCTTCCGCATGAAACGTAAGACCTGAGTCACTGGGAGGGATGACTTTTGTGAATACAAAAGGTGAGAAGTTAAGGTTGAGCGGCTGGTCTGTGGCCTGGACGCTAACTAGTGACCCAACTCTCCCCTGGCCGTGGCGTGCATTTCCCGTAATCGATACCGCCTATTGCCGGAGAGGTTCCCTCACGTGTATGGAGCTTCTCCGCCTTCAGTACTCCTTAAAACCTGGCCCTCTCCTCCACCAACAAGTTCAGGCCCCAGAACCTGCATTTCTCACAAGTTTCAAGGTGACGCTGTTCCACTTGGTCCGGGGAACACACTTTGAGGACCATGACTCGAGCAAACCGTAGCATGACTTAAATCTGACATCCACTGCTCTTTCGCGTCCCAGACACAGCGGGCACCTCAGCCCCCAACCTCCCCATTGGGAAAGCCCATGGCCCAGCGCCTGTGCGCCGCCCACTCTGGCCCCAAACCCAACAGCTTCCAAAGGACGGACACCACCCTCCCGGACCACAAAGGCAGGCACTGATGAAGAGCGCTTTGACTGAGAAATCGTATCAGATGCCATGAGAGCTCATTTTTTAAAAGCTGCATGGTGTAGACAGTGCCTGCAACGCAATCAAGAATACTGTTCCGAAACAGAACGTTGCCGCCAAGAACCAAATGGCGCAGCTTGGCCGCACTCCCAGCGCCCTTCTCGGAGACTCACCGGCAAGCCGGGACAAACAAGGGCCAGGCCAACTCCCCTTCTAACTGTGACATCTCATTTTTATTGAATTAAAATTCAACACTGCCATCAGCATTCCATATAGCCACCAGCAGGGGCTCAGGAATTTGCCGTATCGCTGTAAAAGCGTTCAGAAAGAACGAGGTCTGACTGAAGATGAGGCTGGATCCAGCTCTCTGCAGGGGGTTCCGAGCACCCAAGGATTAGAGGTCCCCTTTCTGAGCCACGGGTCTCGGGTAGGCTCCTCCTCACCCAGTAGTGCTGACAATGAGGCTGTTTCAGCAGGCAGCCCAGAATCCCACCGCCCAGGACACCTGACCCGGGGTCATGAGCGCTCTGTCCGACCCTCTCCAATGTCAAAGGCCGAACTCGGGGTAACGCTCAGAGCTCCACAACGGGCTACGAGGCTGGGCGGGGCTGGCTATTCGCCTCAGCGACATGCCAGTGACTTCAGCTGCACCCCTGGCCCATCCTCGGCTGAATGAGAAGGTGGACACTGGAAATATGGACAAACTCTATCACGCGACCCCATGGGGCTGCAGATGACTCACGATTCCTGTTTGGGGGATTGTTGTAGGCCCCTGGTTCCAAAACACAGACTCCAGTTCCCTTAGATATCCGCACCCGCGGCAGGCCGGAGCTCCCACACTGGACCCGGCAGGTGAGACGCGCCAGCAGGTGTGTGCTGGGTGGGCCAAGGCTGGAAATCACTGCCCAGGGGACCCGGGCGGCACCGCAGGTGACCACAGAGATGTGTCTGCTGCCACTCCATGGGTGGGCCAGGGAGGCTGCCTTTGTCATGAGCACCCAGCCCTGCAAAATGAATAAATGTCCTGCCCCAGAGGGCCCCCGAGAGACCTCGAGGAGCGGCAGCTCAGGTCAGAAAGCCTCGGGTCTGCAGCTCGGCTGCCCACGCTGACCTTATGGTCCCAGGCTGAGCTACCAACCCCATGGCCTTGTCTCTGTGATGGAGTCAGGGGGCTGCAGAGCTGGCAGGGCTGCCGCAAGGATCAGGAAGACGGGGCGCCACTACAGGCTGAGTGTGTCCCCCAAAGATGCTGAAGTCCTTCCCCTTCCCTGGGAATGTGGCTGGTCTGGAAACTGGGTGTGGGCAGGTGCAATCAGGCTAAGATGAGGTCACAGTGGAGCAGGGTGGCCCCCAGCTCACGAGGACTATGTCCTTACAGAAAAGGGAAATCTGGCCCCCAGGTCACACACAGGAAAGCCCGTGTGAAGGTGGAGGCAGAGATCAGGGTGATGTTTCCACAAGCCAAGGAGCCCCACAGATGGCCAGCGAAGCCCCAGAAGCCGGGGAGAGACCTGGACCAGATGCTCCCTCACGGCCTCAGAAAGGGGCTCACCCTGCCAACACCTCGATCTTGACTCGCAGCCTCCAGACTGGGAGACAGTAAATTTATTCAATTTATTAATTTATTAAGCCACCCAGGCTGTAGGCCTGGTTACAGTGGCCCCGGTAACTAACACCTGTGCAAAGCAACCACCGCTCTTGTCCCCAGACAATAGCTCAGGGCGCCGAGCACCACGCCCCATGGTAAGTCTTTTCCTTTCACACCTGATGGGTGCTGCCTATGTGTTCACACCAGCTCAAGGCAGGCCCTGGTGCATCCCGTTCAGAAGACACTGGGCAGACTTAGCTACACCCACCTCTCACTGACTCCCCACTGAAGTGTGCCGTTGCTCACCAAGCACCCCTTCCGGCCACCCCGGCTGCAAGGACAGTCCTCACCCAGCACAGGTGACCACCCTTGCTGGACGAATGAGTGAGTTACGGCCGGTGCACGAGATCCGTGACAAGGCAGCCCCAGGCCCTGTGGCTCGTGGCGACAGACTCAGCTTTGATCGCTATGGAAAAGGCAGAGATAAACGCTCGAACAGCCCTGTGGGAGGCCACGCACACCACGGGCAGAGCCCAGGAACGGAAAGGAGCATGAGTGTTTGGGGTGGGATTTCAGGGAGAGGGCTGAGCACAGGGAACGACAGGGGCATCTGGGGGTGGGGGAAGGGGGCCGTGGAGCCCTGGGCAGCGGCTGTGTAAGGGCCGCCCCGTCCCAGTGCTCCGGGTGTGCAGCCTGATGCCGTGAGGCCCGCCTGGGGAATCCCGGCCAGTTCCCGCAGCCGCCCTGTGGCCCACCTGTCCCTGGTGCCCTCTGGGGCTGAGGCTCTCAAGCACGGGGAGGGGTGCAGACAAGCCACTGGGAACCCCAGGGCCCGGCCCTCCCACCTAGGGCTGCCTGAGGAGACGCTGCCCGTCTGCCTGCTGTCCACCTTCAGCAGGAAGGTCCTGACCTTCGCTGCGTCACCACAGGGCCCAGAAGGGCGGGGACACGACTGAGACAGGGATCTCGCCCCCTAAGGATCTCAAGGCCCAGCGAGAGACGGCAGTGGTGGTGATGGTGGCACGCTTGTGGTTAACATTTAGAATCCTAAAATGCCAGAGACTGAGCTAATGGTGTTTACCTTCACCACAACCATGAGTGGACATTTGTAGTAGTAGTAATATTATATTACTATGATATAATCATGATAAAATAACTATAAATCATCATCATTATTACTGCCATATGCAGATGAAGAAACAGCCTCAGAGACTCAAGTAAGCCCCCCAAGACCACATGTCTAGAAGAGGTGGAGGTTCGGTCTGGGCCCAGGTGGGCCCGGCTCCCAGGTCCCCGCTGTGTCACTGACACGCTGCCTGCAGTGCAGGAAGGCATAAAACATTTGACACTCTCTGAGAAAACAGAAGACACATTTGTGTTCACTTCCAACGTGGGTCAGGGAGACACAGCCTTTGTTGAGATTTTCCAATTATTTGTCAGTTTATCCCAGTGTTGTCGTTGCTAATTACAAGGGAGAAACTGTTTTATCTCCATTGTGGGAGAGTCTCAATAACTTTTTTCGAAGAGGTAAAGGTGTAGCCTCTGGGGTGCCCGCGGGGCGGAGGCCCCCACGGCTGCGTCTGAGGCGTGAGCGTGGGTCCTTCCACCTCAGGGCTGGGCTTGTGGGCAGGGGGAGAGATGCAAAGAAGAAAACCTTTGGAGGAACAGCAGGGCAGTGCAAACAAAGACTTTCCCGTTTGAATTCACGGGAATAAATAAACACAAACTTGGGACCAGGTCCTCAGCCTGACAATGTGGGGTGGTTACTCTTGTAGTTGTTCAATAGAGGGAACGTGCTGCCCTTGAACCTGTGAAAACTGGTTAAGGGGAACCTCACCGGGGTCGGGAGGCCTGCAGGAGCAGCTCTCGTGCCCACCACTCCTCGCAAACCTCAGACGCCGTCGGACGAGACGGACACCACAGGGATCTGACGCCTCACCACCCAGCAGGAGGCCCACCAATGAGAGGCGGTCACAGCTCAGCCAATACCAGCCGCAACGCGTGGGACCCCGTTTCCTCCAGCGGACTTTTTGCTGGGAAACTGCCCCTCCCACCTTGGACCCTTCCTCTGCAGAAGGGCGCCCCTCTCCTTGGTTCTCCAGACTTGCCCGCAGCTCTCCTGTAGCTCACGTGTCCCAGATTGCAATTCTCTGCTGTTTCCAAATAAGCCTGTTTTTGCTGGTAAAATAACTTTTAATTTTAAGGTTAACAAGCTTGAGTACACAGAGCAGGTAAACACACAGGGAACTGAACTAAGGAGTCACTTGGTGTGGCCTGCTTGTCGCTGACACCCCATCTAACAACTCAGCCCCTCCCAGCCCGACCCCCGCCCGTCCACCTCCGCCTGCTTCCCTCGGGGCCCCCCTCCCAATCTCAGTGGCAGCACTGCCTCCCATTCCAGGATCCAGACGCCCTTGACTCCTCCCCGTCCTGCACCTTCTAGCTCAGTCTAGAATAATCTATAGCTGGAGTCCTCATGTGTCCCAACCCACTGCCCGAGGGCCCCCATCCCTCCCCACCGGGGTTACTCCAACAGCCCTGCATGGAGCTCACATGCCTCTCGGACCCACGTGGCTTCACTCCAGGCCGGGCTCTTGGGTCCCTGCTCCTTATGACAACTCCGGTGCCTGGGGCTCAGGGCCGGCGCCTTGCTGCAGGGGACACAGGGAAGGGCTGAGTGTGGTCTGGCCCTGCCTCCTTCTCAGGACAAGTCCTGCCTGTCAGTACCTGCCCCCGACCCCTTGCCATAGCC